TCTCCATTAGTTGATACCCACAGGCTGTTGCCGGATCGGAGCAGTTGCCGCCAGCCATCAGGGCAGTGCTGAAGAGTTCCTTCAGCTGTCACTTGCCTCCAGCGGATACATCAACACGTGTGCATGCACAATATCCGTGCATGCTGCATATATAAATATAAATATAAATATAAATATAAATATAAATATAAATATAATATATATATATATATATAAATAATTAGCAATTTATTTATTTATATACATACATCTACAGGTGCATTCGCATACATATAATGTGGGTGAAACTATGCAAACTATGGATGGGAATATCATTCTGCAGATCATTTACCGTACATAATTTTCATTATGGCAGTAAAGGTGCAAATGGCATATGATCGGCTTTCCTTGGCGGAGCACAACCCGCTGGTCCCACGCGGACACCGTGGCAGGTAGTTTGTTTCCCATTGCCATGTTTACCTTTAGAAAGTGCCAGAGTAAACGGAGGAAACCATTCATAATCAAACTATATGGTCATTCAATCTCTTTAAATAACTATATTGTCATTCAATCTCTTTGAAAATGATAAATTAGATATTGGGGCCTACACATGCCTAAAATCTTAAACATAAATGTCGAAAGCCTCAATCCTTATGCGTCTCTTCACCACTGCAGCCGGTGCCTTTCCCTTTTTTCTTGTTTCCAGCATCAAGGACACCTCGAGGGCAAAGGTGGACCATGACTGTCGGCATCCAAAACATAGCTAATGAGTTTATTTCCCTCACCCCACTATTGAAATACCATGAAATAAAAAATAAAATAATCCGTATGAAATACCAAATTTCATACCAATCCAAGGTTGACCCAAGATCTTGAGCTTTTTCTCACCGGCCGTTGCTTGGTTGCACAAATCGCCAACAATGCAACCCGGGGACTGATCTTTTCTGATGGCACTTGCTTCCATTCCGCAGTGATGATATCCTGCCAAAACGGTTGCAACCGCCCCGTTATGCCTCGGCAAACTATGGCAACTTGTCATTGTCAAAACATGTCAAAACATGAAGTGTAGCCCTAAATCCAGTGGTGAATCATATTTTTTTGCCTATCTTTTTGCTGATTTGTGGAGGGGTACCCTCTGGTAAACTAACATAGCTATTGAAAATCACTATCTTTAATAGGTAAATCAACTAGAAATGGGCAATTTTCAATAGCTATGTTAAATTACCAGAGGGTATACTACCGATGTTTATCCATTTTTCGCTGGCGCGAGCTGCTAGCAGAGATGCTGCCTGGAATCTGTCGTTCAACCCCTACTTGCACTACCGAAGCTCCAATGAAAGACTGCCCAACGGCAATTCGTTAATGACTCAGGATAGTCATGACAAATTCAGTCGTGACATCTCCCCGTTTTTGATGATCCAAATCCTCCAAATTTGGTTGCTAAATCACCCATCTTTGCAGCCCAAGTTGCTATCACTTCATCTTCAAAATCACCTGCGAAGGTGGTTCAAAATATTAGATCTCCAAGTACCTATAGAACTTGGATTTTATCCACAAGAAAACTGTAGTTACCCCAGAGTTGTAGTTTTTATACATACTGAAATCATGTCTCAACTGGTGACACGGTGACCCCGGAAAGTGGTCAGCCTGCGCCCCTCGCCGTTTTACCAATGGCTTACGTCTGGACAAAAAAAACCGGTGGCCACAACAGCTGCAGTAACATTGCATGTTTATTTCGATTGCGAATATGTCATGTACAATAATTGTGTGTTTTTGTTTAATGAATGAAAACTGCAAAAAAAAAACTGCATATGATGATATATGAATGTTTGTGTCTATACCATACGATATTTCTCACGTGGCAAATTTCAATGATGTTGATTGGAACAATGATGTATATAATGCCCGTGTTTTATGTTTGTCTGTCTGTATGAATGTTCGGATGGATGGATGGATGGACGGATGCATGGATGCATTTGTATATCCATGTATGCATGTATGCATGTGTGCATGTGTGCATGTATGCATGTGTGCATGTATGCATGTGTGCATGTGTGCATGTGTGCATATATGCACGTATGCCCGTATGCACGTATGCACGTATGCATGTATGCATGTGTGCATGTATGCATGTATGCATGTATGCGTGTATGCATATATGCATGTATGCATACATGTATGTATGATATTATGTATGTATGTATGGATGTATGGATGGATGGATGGATGGATGGATGTATGTATGTATGGATGGATGGATGTATGGATGGATGGATGGATGGATGTATGTATGTATTTATGTATGTATGTATTTATGTATGTATGTATGTAATGTATGTAATGTATGTAATGTATGTAATGTATGTAATGTATGTAATGTATGTAATGTATGTAATGTATGTAATGTATGTAATGTATGTATGTATGTATGTATGGATGGATGTATGGATGTATGTATGTAATGTATGTATGTATGTATGTATGTATGTATGTATGTATGTATGTATGTATTTATGTATGTATGCATGTATGTATGCATGTATGTATGTATGCAAATGTATATGTAGTCAATTATATGATATATAATTATGTCTAACTTATATATATATATATTCTCAAACTCAAACCGGCTCAAAGCCACAACATCTCCGGGCTATTTCATGGCATGGATCCTTCACCAAAAGTTCATGGTTTCTACCAACCAAAATCGACAACATTGGAGATACACATGATCAATTTTTGCTTTAACATATATGGGTTATACTAATGATTATTCTATACCATTGAACCATATTTTTGTACCATAAACCATAAATATCCATAAATGACCAATGGCATATTTACTATGGATGATTATATGTGCGACGGTCAAAACTCAATTCATGTGGTGAGGTCATGGCGTCGCTTCATAAGGCCCCCTATCGCTACACAGAGTCCCAGCACCCTTTTCACCAACTAGGCAGAATTGCTGCTAGAAGAGGAGGATCCAGATGAGGAATCGGATTCTTATTCCCCTTGCGATGGTATCTCCAGGGAAATTCAAACTTTTACTTGATCACCAAGGCTGACGTCGACAGCTTCAGCTAGACACCAGCCGGACTCACTGCAGGTCATCTGACCTCGGAGGCTGCCCTTGGCTTGTGTTGGCTTGTCTTGGCTTGTCTTGCCTGTGCTGCCTTGTTTCCGGCGCCTTTTTTTCTTCACCCCGCCTCCTTTGCAACCTAATACCACGCCAAAATGAATCGGCAAAACCCTGACCAAATGAACCCTTTAAGAACTAACCCAGTAAGAACTTGAGGGTACCCTTGTTCATACTTCCCATATTTTTCCACCTATAGCACAAGTTGTATAGTTTCAAGTGACCATGCGGGGTACTCCCTAATTTCATGGATTTCAGGTATCGCTCTGGGTATCGAGGGGTATCGCTTCGGGCATCGCTACGGGGACCAGAAAATGTGTGATATCAGGTGTATGTTTCAAGTGACACGAAATTCTGACAAGCTCCATGTTGCAATTCTACTCCTGGACAGTGGCTTTGGAGAAGCGTCCGTGACCGCACAAGGATGCTTTTTCAACATATCTCAGCACGGTCACTACCTGAATCAACATCATCACCATCACCATCATCATCAGCATCATCACCATCATCAAGCTCATGATGCGTTATGAATTAGTTTCTTGCATACCTTATAGATCAACATACCCCAATATATCAATATTGTTTAATGTAACTATCTCATATATACTTGACGACAGGCCATCTTGCAACTACCCAGGAAGACCAGCCCACTGCGACTGCTCCAGTGTCGCACTCTGACATCAAAAGATTGGAAAGTCATGCGCCCAACAGGAAGCTTCAATCATAAACAAAGTCTAAAAAGAGGTATCGCTACATAAGGCCCCCTATCGCTACACACAGTAAATCACATATTTTGAGTAGTGATGGCGGATCGTAATTGAAGCCTTTCATAGCGTCTTTTGACCCTTGCTCATATGGATATACTATATTATGGATACCATTATACTATAACATACTATTATATGGATATATCCGCCAGTGGCATCTCCTGCAATGTTACCGCCCAGCACATGACTGATCAAGTGCCCAGAAAAATGGAGCCGGCGTCGTACCAAACACGGCGTCAGATCAGTTGGTAGTTCAAACCATGGCAAGTACTACCTATGTAAATATATGTACATATAAGTTACATATATATATATATATATATATATGTATATAGAAATATGGGTAAATTATAATATTTCACTAACCTGAATTAAGATGAATTAATGCCATTTGGGGATGATTTCCCGTATTAACCATGATTCCAGTGAGGTCGCAGTGAGGTCGTTATAGTTTACCCGGAAATATATATATATATATATATAAACCCAGGATCCATACATGACCTGACACCCTGCCACTGCATGGTTGTCGTTCCACCTTTGGTGGGTCGCAACTGTGCATGGATTCTTTCTATGTTTTATTGGCTTGGCTCACAGAATCTGATTTAGGTGGGTTTAACAAATAAAAAACGTAGCTCATTTTGCATCATTCGAAACAGGAGTATGCCCAATCATATCATATCGAAACATACAATTTCAATACTAAGGATGGTATCTAAGGATCACTTTCATTGAACATCATGCAGAGATCAAGGCTGGACGTCTTCAAACATCTGGCCTTCACTAAAGGGCAGCTGGAGATAGTGAGCATATACTGATCTATTTTGACCATCCTCATGAAGGGGCTAGCTTCATCAACAAGACATGCCACTACTCATCATGGAAGCTTCTCAAACCGTTCCAAGAGAAACAATTCAGAGTACCTTCAAATTGAAACCTTTGATTCGAATACCCATCCAGGCCTCGGCTAAAAACAAATAAAGTAGGCTACATACATGCCCTGTTTTGGATTGTCTTGGAACATTTGACAACATTTGATTACAGCCGCCGCATATTTGGACAGTAATAGTCGCAAAACCACCATGGTCTCCCACAAACAAAACCTCCAAGTGTCATCACACTCTCCAGCTTTCCCCAACACCAATGGCATCTTCGCCCTCATCAAACGTCACCACTGGCCGCGATTCAGCGTGAGAGTCGGGATTTTCGCCTGACTCCAAGCGAGTTTTTTCGGGCTGAGATTAACACCTGAAAGCCTCTGGCTGTGCCAATAGCATGGGCATACCCCAAACAACCATTTCATTGGGGGAAAAAATGGCCAATCAGTGAATGGAATAGGGATGACTGGTGTAATTAGTAAAGAAATGGTTTGAAATGGTAAACAAAAACACCAGTTTTTAGACCAATCCAGATCCATCAGTCTCCGGAGCCCCTCTCGCCTGATTCCACACCACCGGTCCCAGAACTTGCACAACCCCCAAAGCTGCGAGAACCTCAGGCCGAAAAAGTTCAGCTTGGATGAACATGTCTTGAAAGCCCTGGGGATAGTCCACGGTAGTATAGTTCCATTTTCTTTATATACCCAATACATACGCACATACACACACATATTAATATATATATATATACAATTCGAATTGCCAAAATGCATCAAAATGGTAACATATTTTTTTTCCTGATTTCAATCTTGATTTGTGTTCTTTCCATCACCTAAGTTGCTCAGACCAGCCATGCTCAAATCCCTGACATCGAGCCACTGGAATGCGACAGCCGCGAGGATCGCTGCGAGGATCGGGGCACTGGCCGCGGCCCCGTCGCTGTGGTTCGCTCCAAGGAATCCGATTGAAGGGAGCTATTTTCCTAGCCCGCGACATGGGATTTAGATGTGAGTTTAACGTGGTCTTCATGGGCTTTCATAAGGTTTAATGGGATTAAAACTTAATTTTGATGGGGCATGTACTGGCTCTTGGGACATTCACAGTGTTTTACTTGCTTTGGCAGATTTGTATAATTGATTTGTAAGTTTTTCCATGAAACTTTTCAACAGCATGTTACAGAGGATAAATTATATTTTAGTGGAATCTATTGGGATATCAATGGGATTCTATGGGGATTTGATGGGATTTGAATGAATTCATGGAATATTCCGACCTATTTGGGGGTGGAGACTTACTTGCTTGTTGCCCCCAGGAACCCTTAGTCCAGTTGTAACTGAGGTTGTAACCCACTCGCTGAGGCACCAAGTATGGATGTATAATGATGTGGATATGGTAAGAAAAGTACACACACACACGTCATACGCGCATGCATGCATACCCAAAATACCAAAACACATAATAATAACACAACATAGCAAAACAGGACACAAGATAATGTAACCTAACACAACATAATGTATCATAACACAACATAACGCAACATAACACAACATGACGTAACATAAAATGACATGGCATAACATTCCATGTCATGTCGTAACATCACATCACATAACAGTGATCCCCTCCGGGGCGTCCAAAGGGCTGACTTTCTATCTGCTGTAAATCCTGACGTTTTAAGTCTGAAATCCATGGATTGACATCTGACATTCTATCTGACGTTTTTTTCTGAAACTCTATCTATCTGGCATATTTTGTGACGCTTTATCTCACCTTCTGTTGGTGCTCTGTCTGACATTCTATGGCTCTGAAATGCTACAAATTGCATGCAAATGGGAGGCCGTGACTGCTGCAAAATAGAAAATGGCCGCATCAACATTTCTTGACCTCTATGGAAAAAGGCTATAGCATTTTTTTTACCTTGTGATTTGGGTCGTGGTTTGGAATTCTGGTATCCCAGAAATAAAACTGATGATGACCTTAAGTGGATACGAGACTACCTAGAGCAACCCCCAAAACATATAGAAGAATGGTTTAATTAAACATTTATCAGTATTAAGTTATTTGAGCAAGGCATTACTTTTCTATCTATTTGGGGCTTTCATATCCAAACGCAGAACTCTTTGCAGATCGGCGTCTCGCATTCGCAGACTGCGCAGGCTCGATTCGTCCGACCGTCGGCTGGTTCTCCGGGGACTCCGAAGCCCGCTGCCAGCACCGAATGAACCTCACCGCATCGGTCATGTCACCGTAGCGGCTGTGGTATACCTGAAATGAACATATACCTTGCCGTTGCAAAAGGATATACTTCGGATACGCCCTGCGAAATATGGCCAATACAATCCACACTATATATATAAATAATCATGTAATGTATTAGCATCCTTCCCTACAATAACGAGCATTTAGCTTTGAAATCGTCGGTCCTTGGACAACGGCATCATGAGTGCCACATATACAGCTATATTTCGTTATTGGTGGGGTGGGGGGGTGTAGCTAATGTATATGCATATATGCATATTATATATATATATATATTATATATATATATGTGTGTATCTGTCCGTGTGTCGTGTATATATGTACATATGTATATATATATATATATGTATCATTGGAAAACAAATGACTCAATGTTCCATCATGTTTGGTGGCTAAATCATGTTGAATATGTTGAATTGAATCTCCATTTTCAAAATATCGGGTGGTTCAATCCACACTTTTACGCCCCTAAATTCAGTATGGAATCCACAAGTGGCCAGATCCAATAGGAAATACATCTTCCAACTCCATATTTTGGGGTTCCATGCTGCTTCCATGTTAAATTTAAATCGAAAAAATGGATGCATTCATCTTAGTTGTGCTTAGTAGGGAATGAGGGAATGATCCATTTCATCACTAATAATCATCTCAGCAACCCCCATTCCTATCCATTCCCTACGTTTAACACCAGTAAGTCATTGATGCTCTAATTAGCGTTATAAGTATTCAAAAAAGAACGACCTGCGAAAACCTCCGAGACGCGTAAAGATGAGGCCAGTGAGATCCGCGACATACGTCTCCGCCCCCGGTCAACAGCAGAAACTTCCGCCTGGTGGAAGGTGATGAATTCTGTATTTATGACAATTATACATGCTTATTAATTATTATACATGCTAAATACAATTATAATTATATATAAGAACTAATTGATTATATATATACATATACACATGCTTTAGCATATGTAAAAAAAAATACCTGTGTATATTGAATGATCATATCAAATAGGAGCGATTGCCATATCGGGTGTCTGCTTACAGGATTTTTCTTTATTGCCACCGAAATCATGAACAATGGATGGCTGTTTTCTTGGGGAAACACACGCCGAAATCTCACGTTCCCAAGAGATCATTTCCATTCTTTTCGTGGAAACCTCGCAATATGCTGAGAAACAACTCTCAGCGGGTCATTTTCAAAAAGCCATGTTTTTATTTGGTCATAGATATATCCCACTAAAGTTTAGTGATATATCCCACTAAACCATGTTCAAGAAGAATTCACATCCGCATCGCAGATCAGCCAATTTCTTGTGGCAAAGCCACCAGAGATTCTTCCAGTTTGTGCTCCAGTTTTTCCAGCGCAGCCTGAAAGGCCTAGGACGGAGTTCGGTGGAAACGAAACCAGCTGCTATCAATCTCCAAAACAACCGAAAATGACTTGCGTTTCTTCGGCCAATTTTATATTTATAATATAATATATATATATATATATATTGATCCATTAATTAATTAATTATATAACTTATTATTAATTCAAGTGCTTGGAAAATGTTGGAAAGTCATGTCTTGAACATCTAATATACCACAAAGCTGGGGTTGTCTGGGATATTTAACTCGAAACGGTATGTTTCAATGGAACATAGAAACTTATCTATCTCTCTCTCTCTCTACATAGCTGCTAGAACTCTTGCGCATGGTTGATACAGAATGTCCTATTACGGAAATTTACCTGCAGTTTCAGTCGCAATATTCCACAATATTCAATTTCAATATATATGTGAACGCTATCCCACATACCATGGAATTTCTATAAATTTGTGGAATTCCATATCACATTCACTGTGGAATTCCTCCATTTTTAATTTCAGGGCCCACCAAATCAGCCACCACCACCGTTCTCTTCACGGCACCGAAGGGAATGCCCTGGAACTCCTGGAATCGATCCCTGGGACGGGGACATTGGGATGGCCAGCTCTTTATAGCCCAGGAGAAGATAGAAAAAGTATGTTATCATTCTTTTCTGCTTGGTGGTATACCTACCCCTGTGAAAAATGATGGAGTGAAAGTCAGTCGGGATGATGAAATTCCCATGATTATTCCCGATATACGGAAAAATAATCCAGCCATGTTCCAAACCACCAGCCAGTTTTGGTAGGCTTTGAGTTGCCTAGCCTTTTGGGCCATGCCTTTGGGACGCCAGCATACAGTTGATCATCCAGTTGACCGGGGCACAGAGCGTGGTCCATTTATTCGGCACACGTTGGATATTTAGCCATGGAAAATGACCATTGTTTTTTCGGTAGATCATCTACAAATGGGTCATTTTCCGCTATGTTAAATAACCATACCGGCTAACATATGTCCTATTCCCATGGCCGGGCATGTCAACAAACATCACTCACATGCAATTGGAATACACACACACATATCATACGTGCATATATATACATATATATGTATATATATATATGTATATATATATATACATAACATGACAAACATGATATATATATATGTATACATATATATATATACACAACATGTGTATATATATATATAATCACATATAATCAGTGAAATTCGAAAGCGGGCTCCGAAACACACTTGAGAGACTTTGAAACCCGTTGACCTTGGACGCCCAGATGCTTTGCGCACTGCAGTGGCTTCTTTTCAGGTCACCTCACGTCAAGCTGATGCACACTGCTGGGGGCCTATCCTTGTATGATTTCATGCTATCCATGGTACTTTTGTGGCACCACTACCACAGAAATCAATGGCCTGATTGATATCTAAACCACCATCAACCTGTCTCATTCCAAATTTTGGACCAACTTTTGGATCAAAGAAGCGCCAAAAAAACAGCTGACAATCGTGCCACATGATATTCCATGATCCTTGCCACCAACTTCCTTTTGTGCCAGGCTTGCCTCAAAAATGGGGGGTCCCATTGAAAAAAACAATGGAATGCGGAAAAAACCAAGCAACTCTGGCTGTCCTCAGTGTTCTGTCTTTCTCTCTCCATTTCGGCTTTTAAGACGGCCTGGAGCGGGGAGTCTGAGAAGCTTTACCCGGTTGAAGGGAACAACTACAGGAAACCATGAGTTTATACTGATCTTCCGTACCATTCATCTTCATCTAAACGCTGGTGACTTCCAACTTTCCGTAACCTCCTCCTCGTCCGCCGTCTCTGCCAGCTCAGCCACCGCTTCTAAGTCGATGCCTGGGCGATGGGACTGAAAGTAAAATGGAAGATCCCAAAAGAAACAAGCTCATGTTCACATATTATATATATATATAATATTAATTATATGTATATGTATACGTACATGAATGTCGTTAGTTGTTGCTTGTTGCTTGTTGCTTTGTTGCTTGCTGTTGCTGGTGCTGCGGTTGTTGTTTGTTTTTACCCATCCAAAGACGATGGGAAAAAGTCTGGGATTACTGCCATCTTTAAGGGAAACTCATGAGGGAAACGCTGTTGTAGTAGTTCCATTTTTTTGGTATACCTAGAATTGCGACGCCAGCAAACCTGCAGATTCTTGTATCCACATGTACACTTCTCACTTGAATTGATTGGGCTATGTAATTGTCATTGACGCACTCTTTCCTGCAAAATCACGCGCGTGTCCGTGAAGCTCACAGCGAAACAGTCTACTATAGTGCAACCGATTGAACTATTTTCCAGTAAACTATAGATACATATCAGTAAACTATATCAGTAATTGGAACTATATCATATTGCTGGTCGTCACCATATCAGTAAACGCCTGATGGGAATTCCAGTTATTCCAAATTGGAACGACCAGCCATGGACATCCCCCGCTGGGTGAAGGCCCCCCCAGTTACAGTTATAAGCTGGTGAAAAAACACGGAGATACCATATGATACCACTATATAAATTTTATATAGTTGTAAAATGTTGTAAGTTGGTGTTTTTTGTTACATCATGTTACATCTATATAAACCATCACCATAAGCATATATAGTTGTCTCTACAGTTTCGTTCGTTTCCACTTTTCCACTTCGCTCGTTCGGCAGATCTCGCCGAGCAGCCATCTTGTTCCAAGATTTGCTCCAGGATGGGTGGAAACAAATGGTTGGAGATGAAGAGAGCGGTGAAGGACGACAACGCCACCAGGAGAATCAAGTAGTAACCTTAGAAACACCAACAAGGGACCAAGATCGTTTGAGAAGCTTATAGATTATATTATATACACATACTTAATACATACTTACTTGTAAGTGATGTTAAGTGTTAAGTGATGTTAAGGGATGTTCAGTGGGTTCATAAACCAACAAACGTACCTCCTCGGGGGCACCACCTTTTTTTGGTCGAAGGGACGGAGTCGTTCGCCAACCTGTCGAGTTGATCTCCCACAGATCGAACCTGGTTAATATCCCTGGCTATCAAATATAATATACGTATATATATATATATATATTTATTTATTTATACATATACATAAGATATACATAGGGTGCATACCTATGCGTGTATATATATATATATATATTATATGGGTGCTACTATGTGCTAATAGGTTAGTAAATGGAATGGCCTTCCAAGTAGCCCAAAACCCGAAAATAATGCAATTTTGATGGGGACAACTTAACAAGAAGTATTGAGAACATTGCTTTACCCATCTTTATCCCATAACCTTCTTTGTGGCTCGGTTTTCAGCCCCATGAAAGTTGCATACCACCAGCCCGAAGCACAGCGATGTGTCTTTAAAGAGTCTTGAACACCTGGCCCACCCATAAAACTTGAGCAAACCGCAATGTAATCCAAGATCACAATTAAGAAAACCCAAATATCACACTTAATTTATAAACTCATCCACATATGACAGTTTGTCGTGGCTTGTCCTTTGCGATTTTGGATTTCGAGGCTTTTTGACCATGTTTTTTCCCATGATTTCGCCCTTTGCCCCTTCATCCACGGCTTCAGAAAGGTGGCTATCTGTCCCAGTCAGCTCCAGCACGATCAGCACAGGGGTCAAGGGAAATCGGAAGCAACTGGCCTCAAATTGCCAGTGAACATTCGCTGTTTTGGATGTCCCTCCCGCGAAAAAAAACGTTACGGTAATACATGGTAATACTATAGTAGTAGATGCCAGCTAGATTCATGGAAATACATGGACATATTATGTGACATATATGGACTATAGATGGATTGTAAACCATTTGCGAACTGGAGGCCAAGCTGGTTGTGGAACCAATGGGCTACTTGAAATTGATCGGAAAATGTACAGTTCTGCTATAGAGGTTCCCTGTAGGTTTTCGCTTCCTCCATTTCGGGGAACTAAAACAAATAGAAACCAGGCGAACTGAGATAAGTATGGCAACCCAATCATGAAGATACGGAAGATCTACAACACTGGTGGAGGTTCCATATCCATGTCAGCCTGAGAATTTACCAGCAGATCTGATTACATTGGGAGTTCCCAAAGTCAGTGATACTACAGTGATAGCGTTGCTTTCAAGTAAGTGTTTGAGGTGCCAACGGTGTGAGCGCTTTTGAAATGGTTCTTCATGTTTCTTTATCCATCTTTGCTGCTTCAAAACATCCCAAGCCGCGGTCATGTCCCTATTCCACAAACGATAAAATCATTTCCACCATACTTCCAATTTCTGGTGAACTCCACTTTTCTGGAATTGCCATTTCGACCGGCTCTCCAGGTTTTTCCCATTGGAACACATTTCGCACCGGAGTCAACATGAGTCAACTGCATCTCCAAGAGGCGAAGAGGCTCACCATCCCGAAGATTTCACAGGCAGATCGGCTTTCCTCCATGGGCAGCCATTGGCCCACCCAGGCGCCAAGAAATCCACCTGGTGTTTCATCTGACCGAATGTCACTCAAAAACAACCGTTTTTTGTGGTGATCACGCGGAGGATGGGTGATGCTTAAATGATCTATAGTAAGTTTTGGGGCTAACCAACCACCACAACAATGAGGCCTGACTACATAAATCTTATTGATTATTAACCATCTATTCTTTTGCGGGGCAGGTCACCAAAATCCGGAGATATTTGGTTGAGCCACCATGACAATGATATGACACCAGTTGCTGGGATTGATGATGATGGCTCTGAAGTAGAATCTGTGAGGGAACAGGGACCTTGGAAATTGCATCATTAACTTCTAGTCAAACCCTGTTCTATCCCTATTATGCACCACATTGTACACTACACATGGTTAAATCACCAAGTTTCAACTGCCCAATGAAAAACCTTATCCCATATCCCCAGCATACCCCGATGAAAAACCCCAGGTATATCCCAAAGTTTCAAAAACCAATGCCCTTTGGTGGTCTAATTTTAACCTCGTGAATTGGAAAATGAGCATGTTAAAAAAAAAAATCATCATGTTTGTCATCTATTTCCAAGGCTTCCATATATAGAAATAACCGGAGGGCAATTCCCCCACACAATCCGTGAAATCCCAGCAAACCCCAGTAAATAACAACTTTTCATAACCATTGTTCATAAACATAATTTTCGTAACCCTTTTTTCCGACATATTTTTTACACACATCTTAAAATATCACATGGAAAATCTCATGGAAAATCCCATATGGAAAATCCCATGGAAAACCATGACCCATTGCCCAACCAGAATTTTCTGGCGCGGTTTCGCCGCCTGAGATCAGCACTGGTTCCAGGGTATCTCCAGGGAACCGCGCTGCCACGCCCACTGCAAAGGCGCTCAGCTTGCCTGAGATTCGAGGCACTAGCGATGGAACGCGAAAAAGGCCATGGTTACCAGTGACCTTTAACCGTTATCAAAACCGGAGAAACATGCGGAAATATTGAATTATTCATTTCTGATATGTGTGAACATGTTTCAAATGTGTGTTATTTTTGAAGGTTTGCCTTTGAATTCACCAGAATTGGCAGGTTTGATGATATCAGCAGTTGGATTTGCGTTTTTGGAGACCATTAAAAGTAAAACCATATCCAATGCAGTACACTGGGACGTGAAAGTCAGTGCATATGTGGAACGAAGGTAAAAGCTGCATGGGACGCCGCGCATTGAGGAAGTCAAACAAGTCAATGCAACCAGGTCTAAAACACCATGGGACGCACTATATAGAAGTGTTATTTTTAGATCCCTGGCAGTGCACTTTTCTATTCCCAAATTTTCCAAATCCCCATCAGGACGCGTGTGCACAGTTATGTCTCACAATCTTAAAAATATATATATCCACGGATGTTAAACACCATGTGGACGCTTATCCAAACATGCACATTGATACCTACGCCATTTACTAGAACTTGCGCCAGCCGCATGGCTGGCACACCGCTTACGCTAGACAAAATATCTTGCTTCTCTGCCCAAAAACCGCGCCTTGCCCAGAAGCAGCAACACAAGCAACAACAACAACAACAACAACAACAACACCAATGGTGTAGATTCCCCAAATGGTGGATTAACCAATGGGAACATAGAAAGACCCAGGTAAATGTGGAATTAATTGTGTTGATGCCGTTTAATTCACCAAAACTGGGTCGGATTTTTGATATCAGAAATAGATATGATATGCTATATATATAATATGTCATAATAATGATAATTAAATCATAAAGAACTAAAAAGATATAAAATGAACGATTTTGATGGAACATAGGTGTGAAAGATGGTGAAACCCGGGCCCCATCAAACTGTCCGGAATGTGACCAAAAAAAACCTGGAGCAGCACATCATGACGGACCAGAAACCCAAAGTATGACGACTAAAAGTGGGGCCCCGTAAAGGATGGCTAAGTTGGTTGGCTCCAATACTTCTGGTTTACATTGGTTTACTTTGTTTTTTTTGACTATAGTGAATATGGTTTATAGACCAACTTATAGCTGGGGAACCCCACCTTGTATGGAAGGGGGCATGTTGCTCAATCTTGCACATGGTCCCGCATGGTCCGACATGATCCAACATGGCCATGGCTGGCATGTTTCTTTTACCCACATTCCCAACTTGCCTATCATCTCACGTGCTCGGGTGTCAAAATTAGATTTCAACCTTTTTAAAAACACATATAGTTGCAACCAATAATTCCCAATGCTTCCTAAACACAAATACTGTTCATCGCACCTCAAACTCGACCTTGCCATGGGTCCATAGCAATTCTTTGTTACCCTGCAAGAAAAAAAGAGCTGGTTAGGCTAGTACGCCTCCATCAAAATGGCAAGAGATTAAGTTGTACTACTAGTACCATGTCATTATATATCTTGTACTACCATGTGCACCATCCAGTTAACAGTTACTGTCTCCAGAAAATACCAATCACCAGATCTCCTCTCTCTCAATCGCCGTATATTCCCCAGTCTATTATTAGTTACCCTCTGGTGACATAACTACATAAAATCACTATCCTTGTTAGGTATACCATCCACAAATGGGCCATGTTCATCCACCTATCGCATCTATAGCATACCAAACTCCAACAAAAAATGCATTCAAATACCACATAGAGAAAAAACAACATATGTATCACATGTTTAACGTATAGCAAACGGTGAGTCCCACCAAAAAGAACTCATCTTCCATTCATTTCCTAGTTTACCAGGTCGCCAATGGCGAAAATCCCATGAAACCCTATTCAAATCCCATTAATTGCCTCATCAATACCCCATGAAATCCATTTGTTTATGGATTTCATGGGGTATTGATGCCCATTCATATCCAATTAAACCAATATAACTCACCAGACATCCCATTGTTAACAGTTTAACCCAGGTCGCCAATGGCGAAGATCAAGGCGTCGTTCTGCTGCACCTCCGCGTTCAGCACGATGGAGAGCGACTGGACGCCCACGCCCCAGACGCCGCGCAGCCCAGTGATCCGAAAGACCAAGGAGCCGATGGCCGCAGAGAGACCCGCCAGAAGGGCGAAGACCAGAAATCCTTGGGGCCATGGTTTGGTTCATGGGAAAATCATGGAACATCTTTTTGGGGATTTTGGTCAATCCAATCCATTTTTGGGATTTACCAATCCAATCTATTGAGTGAAAGCGGCCGAATGCGGCCGATGTGGGAAATCCCCAAACATCAACCAAACAAACAAGATCCAATCGGGGATTCGGCTGACTTTACCAATAAAAACATGGGTTTAAACGTTTTGTGCTAGTAAAAACGTACAAGTAATCAGCAAACATTGGGACTTTAAGGTTTTGAGATGATGTTGTTGGGAGATGTTGGGATATTAATATCAAGTTATAACATAAACCTGAACCCTCCAAAAAACAATAAATTGTGTACCTTTTGCCTTTTAGGTTGTTTTCATAAGAAAGGGTCTTTCTGCCGCATTTGCATTTGTTCTGCATCGTTTGGGAAATGCTTGCCTCGTTCTTTCCTAAACAATACAACTCCAAATTATCTAATCACTGGAACTTTTTCAGCTACACCGCATGTTAATCAAAATAAGTCACTCTTTGGATGTGCCTGCAAGTCAAATATGATTGGTTTCGAACACTTCAAGAAATCCAGAACTGTTTTCTGACCATTAATGGAGCCGAAAGTGGCACAACAGCCCTGTGTCACAAAAACACATCAAGGCAGAAATCCCGATTTGCGCCTTTTTGACAGTGTTTGCGCCTTTTTTGCGGTCCAGTTTGTTCCCCAAAAATGCATGCTATAACCTAAATATTTCTGTCCTCTAGGGAGCATGGGTTTAATGGGTTTGCCTCACATGCCTTTTGCCAAAAGTATTGTTTGCATCTAGTTGGGCCGTTGCATCATGCCATCTGGCACCGAGACCCTTTGGCGTAAAAATGCGTAAAATGGGTCCTTTTGCCCCCCAAAAAAATGTCGTTTTGAGCAAAAGATGGTCACTTACCAAGGTAAAAAAAATCGGATGGTCCAGGAAGGTTCCAAAAAAATCAATCTATCCAACCAGACCCTGTTTGTGACATGGGGGAAATCCCGGAGATCTCAACATTGATATATGACTCACAATAACATGATATATAGGGCAAGAATATGATCTAGATTTCGTCAGGGTAATACAGGATATCCCCAAGAACAATTTTAATATATATATATATTGTGAGATGGCATCGTTTCATTGGTCAAATTATCCATATTAGGGGAATACGCAATAGTAATAGAATAATAGTACAATAGATATACAGGAATAATACAATAATAATGCAATGCACAGGCTCTCGATGCGTAGACCCTGCTTTGGCGCCAATTGGCGCTTCAACTCAGTTTCTGCTTCCGCCCTCCTTCTTTTCTGATACCGAACTTGGTTCTCTAGACGCTGGATCTTGCTCGAACTGGCAGCCGACCGAAATGCTGCCAAATCAAAATACTGATCCAAATCTGTCAAGAAGCGCTTTAAAATTGGAACAAATTCGGGCACCGAACCTTCGCACTCCGCCGCCAAATCAGAAGCAGCATCAAACAAGCGACGCGCTGATTGCTGAGTCATGTGCTGAAAAATGATTTGGTGAGGAAAGAGGAATAGTAAAGGTCAGCCGTGTCTACCCTTCAGTGTCTGTGATTTAAAGCCTGTCAACTCCATATGCCTTGATCCTCATGGTTTTGAATAAAAATCTGGAATATAAGGACATGCTGCTTCATTATTTATTCTCTTTCAGAATTTCAACTATGACGCCTGGTTCTTATCCGGGCAATGAATGCAGAACCTGCTGACGAGATACAGCAATAGCAGATCAAACGCGCAAACTCTGCCAATGTTAAACATAATGCTGCAGATAATCGATATCAAAAATTATCAAATCGATAAAGCTACTGCGTTCACATCTTGGTTCCCTAGCAAGAAAATCGTTCGAAACATACCATTACTTTCATCCAAGGGAAACCCTTCGAAAACAATCGTTTAACATATATGTGTATCCCGAACAATTCTTTTTGATTCATTGAAATCCAACGATATCCGATCCACAAATCTGAACGGGGTTCGAACAACATAACAGAAATACAAAGAAATATGTTAAACAAGGCTTCCAAAAGATGCAACTGAATAGTACCTGCAGATGTCATGCGAGTAGTTGGACATACCCAAAAAAAAGACGGACACTCCCATGTCATGTGCAAAGTGAAAAAACAGAAACATGCATAAACCCCGTGTCATCTGCAAAGTGCCTCGAAAAAATAACATTACATAGGACCTCTCCAATGACAAAGGACCTGTGCAATTGTTTGGGCTCTCCAAGATGCACAACATGTCCCCTGCAAACCCCACGTTCGCCCACACCCAAATAACACACCCAAATAACACACCCAAACAATATCATATACTTGTCACCAAAGGACGAATGAAAACACTGGTTATATACAGCGATATTGACTTTAGTTTTTTAGGATTTAGGGCTCGATTTACGGTTTAGGCTTTTAGGGTTTAAAAAAACGCTAGCCCCACGCAGAGATTTGAGCATGTCAAAGGATATGCGCAATCCGTGGCAGGCAAATGTGGGGTATGCAGCGAACATGTCATGTGAACTAACTCACACACCCTAAGCGCATATAATCCCCGTTCCAATTTCCACTAGAAAGTGGGTGGCAAACCAAACCCCTCCCCATGCTTCATTTTGAGCCTTCCTCGGTACCTGCCAGTTCCCACCTTGGAAGTCCATCTCATGCTTCCCAACACACCTCAACAACAAGAAGTTGATGAGGTGCGCATTGAACCGCCGCCAAACCCTTCCTGCCCCACTCTTGGGAACCTTGAAAACCCCAAACCCCTTTTCATGGTTCCCCATGCTTTATTTTGAGCCTTCCCACACCCTCCCCACCCCACTCTTGAGAACAATTGAAAGCAGCGTTCGACGCGGAGAAAAAACAAATGCAAATGTTTTTCCTGGAAGTCCCAAACATTTTGTCAATTTTGATGAAATTTTCCCATGTTACGTGTCAACAAAAATGGACAAATCCCTGCCCGTTAGGCAGACGCATAAATCCCATGTCATGTGCCAAAAAAAAACTAGGCTAAATCGGCTGCCAAGTCCCGTGTCATCTGCACCTGCTCTATATCGTAATATTGCATATCATAGCGAGTTCAACGGTGCGGGGTGCTGTGGGATAAAGATGGTCCGAGTCCTGGAATTGGAAATTCCAAACTGAGCAACCATATCAAATTTGGGATGTTGGGCATTGTTGTTTGATATTATTTGGACACTTTGCTTTGGGATCTCATTCTGGGACGTGAACAAGTGATATGAGTGCCTTATGATGGCTCTATACCTGATGCATATAATTCTGTATACAATGTAAATACATTGTAAATAAATATGTATGCATGCATGCATACATACATGTATGAATGTATGTAAGTATGTATGTATGCATGTAGGTAGGTAGGTAGGTAGGTAGGTAGGTAGGTATGTACGTACGTATGGATGGATGCATGCATGTTGTGCAATGTTGTGTAATGTTGTGTAATGTTGTGTATTGTTGTGTAATGTGGTGTAATGTTGCGTAATGTTGTGTAATGTTGTGTCATTGGTATATAATGTTACGTAATGTTATGTAAGTGTAATGTTATGTAATGTTGTGTAATGTTGTGTAAGTGTAATGTTATGTAGTGCTATGTAATGTTATGTAAGTGTAATGTTATGAAATGCTATGTAATGTTTTGTAGTGTTATGCAATGTTACGTAATGTTATGTAATGTTATGTATTTTTTAATATGTTAGGTAATGTCATGCAATGCTATGTAATGTTTTGTAATGTTATGTAATGTAGTGTGGCATGGACGGAAGGACGGACGGATGGATGGATTTTATTTTAGGTAGGTAAGAAGGTAGGTAGGTAGGTAGGTAGGCAGGCAGGTAGGTTGGTAGGTTGGTAGGTTGGTAGGTTGGTAGGTTGGTAGGTTGGTAGGTTGGTAGGTTGGTAGGTAGGTAGGTAGGTAGGTTGGTTGGTTGGTTGGTTGGTGGTCGGTGGGTTGGTTGGTTGGTTGGTTGGCTGGTTGGCTGGTTGATTGGTTGGTTGGTTGGTTTTCATTCTTGCATTTTTTTCTAGTGAAGTCAGTATGTTGGGTATTTTCGGATCACATTTGGTCGTAGACAAAATCTGCATGTGTGGGTTGCTAACATCCCTCCTCCTTGCTGACTACCTGACTATTCTGACTGAACTGACAGTCTCCCACGGCCCAGGGTGCTCCGTTGCGGCGCCGAGCATCTGGGACAGAAACGAAATGCCACTTTCTTCAAGAAACGATGCAGGTAGTGGAAGCAAAGGTGGAACAAATAGCCGACACAGGCTGACCTGCCGACTTCCACTTCTTGAAATGTTGAAAGAATCGTGGGAATATGCACCCACAAATGGGGGATACTTTATGGAATCAAAATAATTGTATATATAGTTGTAAACATGGGAATCCAACTGCGATGAGCTATGATAGAATACAACGGCAATCACCGAGCTTTGGCCTACGCCTAGATACCGTGCCCAAGAGCTAGCCAGTCCTTGTCTCCCCCAAACTGATAATCACAAAACTTACTGGTGCTAAACATTAAACCTACGAAATGGGATGAGTGTGAAAATAGTTATGGATTGGATTATTCCCTCCTAAGCACCAGTAAGAAAATAGCACAGAGGTGAAAATCCTCAACTCTCGAAGCTTGACCACAAGATCAATATACAGTAATTAATTAAGATACTCTCCGGTAATATGTTACATAGCTATTGAAAATTGCCAATTTATAAGTGATTTACTCATGAAAATTGTGATTTTCCATAGTTATGTTAGTTTACCAAAGGATATCTGACATAACACTTTTTGAGCCGCAATCAGCTGCCAAATGCCCTAGATGCCGGGTCACATGATGCCAATGGGAATGGAGATCAGTAGCCAGAAATTTTCGCCAAACAAATTCTCGGTCGATGCCCCGGAGACCAAGTCCGATAGCCCTGGGTGGAAGTTCACCTCAATGCTGCGTCAAGCATGGAATCATTTTTCGGTGTCCACCAGTTGCTTTCTGGTATGAAACATCGCTGGAACATCCACTACACATGGAAGTTTATAGCTGGGAGGGTCAACTATAAATGGTTGATTGTTCATTGCCATGTTTGATCACCAAACAATATTCTTGTTGGTTTGAAAAAATCACCAAAGCATAGAATTTGTTCATGACTATAAAGATCCACAAAGCTATGGGGCCCACTTTGTAGGTCTTGCCCCTGGGGGTGCAATCTGTGGCATCCAGTGGGGCTAATATCACCCAACTTTTTGGGGACGCATGTTCATTCCCCCGGGTGGAGTGGCAACATGGCAACTTGATAACCTGAGCCTCATAGGCCGATTACACAACATTGAAACCGAGACGCTGCAGTGTTTTTCTTTCCCCACGTGCCTTTTGGAGATCCTTTTGGGACAACACCCTCTCCAGACGCCGCTGCTAGTGTTTCTAAATGTGATTCCATCATATTCCATCACATCCGGGTCTTTCCTTAAACATCACCAACTAAATACATCTTCAATGACCAAGGCTCTTAACCCATTATTTAAAAATATATCTCCAATCGTTATCCCATTATATTCCCATTGCTAGTTGTATCCCTGAATTATATTCTTTGTTCGTATATAACCCCATTGACGCCTCAAAAACACCTGGGCAAACCTGCCAGACCGAGTCAGGAAAGCTGGCGGCACCTTAAACAGCACCTTGTTGCCCAAGAAGCCTCTCATGACCTTAGCTGGTCACGAATAGAAGCTGGATGTGATTGCGGTGATTTCTAGGGTCTATGGCAGATCGATCATGCATAAACCAGGCAGTGAGTTGCCTGGCAAATGGCCGTGCCCCTAGCAGACTACAGACCAATTTCATGGCCAAACTTAGACTTACAATATTACAATATTGAAATATTGTGTATACGTTTCAAACATGTTCAAACTGAAACTGGATATTCCAACATGGCAATAATCTTCTTGGGAAGTGAGGGTTTCTGGTTTCCTACTCGCCCACCAATAGCGCAACCTTCTTTTGGCTGCTCACCAGGCTCATCCTTTGATGCCATCCACATTTTTTTTTGTTTGATCTCTGCGCGGTGCATGCATATTTATTCATCTCCACCCAGAAAACAAAGAATTCATCTGCCAACGGCGGCCTAACTACCAAGCACAAAGTTGGATCTAAGTGCATCCCCAAACTAAATCATCAAACAACATAAAACTAATAATTATATAGACACTTAGTGTACTATATCCCTCATCATCTATATCAACCTATAGGATTATCGTGTTTGTTCCATGTTTTTTCCACCTGTTTCATCTGGTAAAAAAAAAACGTCGTTCTTTCAACCCAGTGACCCCAGTGGAGATGATGGAGCCGATGAGGATGATACAAATGACCCGCGTGGTGAGCCGCGACGACACGTGCTGCAGCTCTTCCATGGCGAACAAAATGCCCGCCAGGGGAGCGTTGAAACCTGGTTGGCTCGAGATTATATGTGTACATTGTAAACGTAAAATAACAGCACAAACATATAAATACATACGTATATGAATATGTATATATATATATATGTATAAACACGTGCCTATTTCAGAACTATGCAAGTATGCGTGCAGAGATCGCTGCATCTCAATCCGGCTGTTTCTACATCTCTACATGCACACATGAATCAATAAACCCCTGTATCGCCCTATAGATCTGAAATGGTGCTACACAGTTTGGGATCAATGTATTTTCTGTGCATTGGAGAAAAAGCGGCCAGGTTGATACCATTTACTGTCATGGCTATTTGCCTATTGGAACCGCCATGGGTCATTGGGATGGCTCAACACAATTCATGATGATCATCATGAGATGAAGATTTTCAAAATCATCACAATCATGCCGCAATAAAGGGAAAACATCTTCACAATAGCCTCTGGTAATTGAACATAGCCATGGAACATTACAATTTCCCAGATGATTTTCCTATAAAACACGGCCATGTTCTATGGTGAATGGCCATGTTGGACTACCAGAGGCTACCAATCCCATCTGGATATATCTGGATAAACTATAAAACTAGTGGCCAACCCTTTAACCTGAAAAAAATCGGCTGTTTCGGCATGATTCCCCCCATGATTTAAAAAACACTCCTGGACTCCTGGTATGGGTTTGCCTGAGAATAGGGGACCACCCTGAAATTGACTTATCATTTTCCCGTTTTTCAAATGGCGCCATTTTTGCATATCCCCGGACGAAAACCATCCATGGCCAAGTCACTGGCGGCGAAGCCACAGCAGAAGCCCAACGACGCCAGCAACGACTGCGTGCGTGGCGAACGGATCCCGCAGATCCAACCGATCATCCCGGCGAGGGCCTCGTTAGTAGGTCTTCCGTTTTTTTTCCGCCAGGCTTCATGGTGTGAATGGGGTGAAACTACATATAGTATATTATATATTTATATAAAGCAACCTTTTTCTTGGACCTAAGATAGCTGACATAGTTATCTAAAATGGTCGATTTGTAGATGATTGAATTATACAAAAGGTTGTTTTCCGTGGCTCTATTCGATTATATACCAGGTGATTCCGTGTTCAAAACCTCCAAGCAAGACATATTGTTTTTGTGTTGCATTTTGCACGTGAACATGGAATGTATCAAACTGTTAGGTTTTCAAAACTGTAGGGATTTTGAGCTTGCATTTCTTCATTCAAATAGCTTATCCTCCAGTAGTCAAACCTGGCATTGGAAAGTTCTGGAATAATGTACATCAATAGATTTTCCTATCATACTTGGGGTGGCTTCCGGCCAGCCATCTTTGACTTTTCTGAGTCAAACGGTCACATGAAGGTACACGTATACATAGCCGCGCAGACACACATAATACGTATATACAAATATGTGTATGCATACTATGCCTATGCCATATATATATGTGTATATATATATATTATAATATGTATGTATATATATAATATGTATAATATATATATAAATAATATATAATGATATGTATATATATATATGATTCAATGTGCAATCTATGATGTACAGCACAACTGGGCTCCCAATAAGCAGCGCGAAAACCAAGCTTCAGTGCAGACTTGAATCGTTGGCCCGTCACCTGACCCAGGGATCAAACTGATTCAACCACCCAAAGCATCTCTCTGGGAATGGGAAATCCCCGAACTTAATGGGTATCTAGATGTGGGAAATCAATGGGAAACGTGGGGAAAATCATCGAAGTTTTATTGCGGAATTCGCCAGCAAACCATAATTGATTACCGGAGAGTAACCAGCGAATAAGTATGAGAGTCAATGGGATCATTCAAGGGAAACTTTAATATAAAGGAAATTCGGAAACGCAGATACATCTTCCCCCCGCTTTCCTGTTGATTTTCCCTTCATTCAGTTCAGGGATATTGGGGTGCACCCATTTTGTTTCTGTGAAATTTGAACACCGTCACTTCTACTAGTCAAATATCGATATGTATATATATATATATAATATACATATTATTATATATGATAAATATAGTCATATCGTCAGCTTTGGGATTTGGAACCCCTGTTTCGGAGTTCTAGATTAAACGTTGGTGTGCCTGTCTTCCATGTCATTTGGCACTAAGCGCAAGGAAAGGCATTCGAGGTACAGCACTTCAAAGTGCCAAAAAAAAATGTTTCAAGTGACTTCTCAAAGGACCCCCAGCATTTCTGTAAAATCTATCCTTTCCTCAAGATGCGTAATATATATATATATATATATACATATATTTAAACAACTGAAACATATTTACAGATATTTACAGTATTTATATATATATATATATGTTTTTTCCTCATGGCAACCAAGAACTCTCGCTGGGGCCAGTGCAGTGCAAATTCGGTCTTTGCAAAACAAACGCCTCAAGATTGAACAGCAAAATCAGGGCCTATACACCATATGAAAGCATGGTCATGACAATGGCAGACCGTCGAAAATCATTGTCAATCTTGACTTCCTCATCAACCGGATATATGTGTATGGATATTATTCACACACACATGTATATATATACATATATAATTATATATATGGGGGTAAATTATAACATTTCACTAACCTGAATTAAGGCCATAAAAGGGGATGATTTCCCTTTAAAAACCATGATTCCAGGCTTCAGTCGCAGTGAGGTCGTTATAAGTTACCCATCATCCTTCCGTCCACGTGGCCGCGCCGCCGCGCACCTCCCATGGTACCACCTCCCACAAAGTAGATGGCCGTGACAATGACCCGCAGCAGCGCACAACCGAAGGAGATAGGTATACCTCGGCCCCCCGGCTGTGGTGATCAAGCAGCAAAGTACATTAGACCCCCTAAGTGCCTAGAAAACTGGGGTAATGTGCCCATGGTGATTTATGATTTTGTTTTGTTTTACACATTTTTATCAACACTTGGAGGGTCTAAGTACGTACCACATAAATCATTTGTAATTCGTCCCAAAACTGTGTGTCCGTTGGGAAGAGAGACACACTTAAATCATTCCATTTGGAAAATCGAGCATGACTAAAACCACCAGCTAAACGACAAAAAATCCATGGACACCAAATTGGCTAATAAACAAACTTATAACTGGGGGGTACTATCTTGTAATATAGATCGATTATATGATGATAAACACATATTGACATAATTAATTACTTATCAATTCCTCCATCAAATTTGACATCAACATATCCACAAACAAAATTCATTTGCCAGTCATTCACCAGTTGGTTTTCCCATTAAACAAATCGCCTGCCCCATATCTCCCAAGTTTAGTTTTGGACTTGGATTAAAATAAGACGTGGTTTACCCGTACATGTGGCAAAAAAAACACGTTTCCCGTAGATTTTCCATGAAAAAACAGCCAAAGGGACCAGCCGCCACCGCCAGTAGTGACTGCACAGTGCCTCCACCGAGGGCCTGTTTGGCATAGCTCTCTGGGGCCAAGTCCACGATGACACCGATGACCAGCAAACTCAGTATGGCCTCAGAGCGGCGAATCTAAGATCTCTGCCATTTAGGTTTGCTCCAAACACCACAGCTACTGTTACGGGGTAAATTGTGTAAATATAGCGGTAAAATGACCACTTAGCCCCCTATACAAAGCTATCACTTATATAATGCGAACACCGGATTAATAAACCCTCCCCCCCCCCACCAGGTAGGTAGGTAGGTACCTTCTGGCTAGTTTTCTTGACAACCCCTAAATAAACGCACCCTGATCCATAAAATTCTGAACCATAAAACTTTGGGTATGGCTTACGTCAATTAGATCTTAATAGAATTCCATTGGATTTGTTAAAATCTCATGGATCAGAAAGCGGGTTGATTAATCAGGGGCAAACCGCGGTTATTACTTAATGGGGAACATGGGCTCATGGGGGGTACCCTTTGGGAGCTATCCAAACTGATGATTTTCATAAAGATTTTAATTAGAAATCGATCATTTGGGGAATAGTTATTTTTTGAAATTTTCAATGATCAACTTAAACCTTAAGTATAACAATGATGATGAAAACAAGGTTAAAAAAATTGGAAATAAAAGGAATTGGAAATAAAAATTGTTGGATAAAACAATGGATTTCAGAATTGGTGGTTGATTAATCGGAGGTAGGCCCAAAAAATTATTAATCATGGGGGACCACCTGTTTTTAAATTACGAAAAAAAATTGGCAGTTGCTGTTGATTAATCGGGGGGGCATTATTAATCCTCACTTGGCATTACCAATAAACAACTGCAAGGGCCCTATTTCTGGTACAGTAGTTGTTTTGATGCATATCCCGGATATAACGAAATAATAAACGTGCGCCATGGTCAAAAGATGGTACGAGAGTTGCGGCAGTCGCACAATTATTGGGAGTTTTTCCATTGGCCATTCAAATTCCCATTGATGATGGTATGACCATCATCCAGTATGGGTATATAATCCAATTCTTGACTCGACTCTCGCATGAACTCAGAGGTCCACAATGACACAGCCCCGGACTCTGGTGATGGGGTCAGTGTATTTGAAACTATGGTGACTGAATATCGTGAAGGTCAAGAGAAGACCCGGGCCAACAATCGCAGCGCCCCAAGAGTTGGTATAGGATAAGAACATGCATCATGCACATAACTATAGCGTCGCAAGATTTAATCCAAAGGGAAGTGTCACATAATCCAATTCTTGACAGGGAGCATGCGAGGAGAATCCGCGCTGACTAAGCCCAAGCACTGGTGGCGGGTCAAAGGTAGCATAACAATAAACATGAACTAAACACAACTGACGGCATGCCAGGGACATATCTTCCGGCACATACAGGGTTACCAGGCATCGCGTGTTGAAAGCATGAAAATTATGATAGGTACCCAAAGGATTTTTGAAATTTGGGCTTCACATTTTGAGAGTTTCCCCATGTGGGAACAATACACACGCACACAAAGACACATACCACATATATATATATATATATATGTTTATATATATATATATTCGCATATATTCAAAATAATAATCATAAATAAATAAAGAAAGAAAAACGGTCCGACACATAAAGATACATATTG